TCGTAAATACATGAATTTTTGTAAATCACAAACATCAGTAGTTCCGACCATCGCGTTAAAAGTGTTTTTAAATAGTAGCCATTTTCTTACATGGCTGTCAAACTTCAGCCATTAGAAATTCGGCAACAGGCAATTTTAAGTGGTGTGTATTGTTACTGGAAATAACTAAAGTTATGTTTAAGTTAGCACCATTTGCATGGTAAGGGGGATACAAATTTTGTGATGCACATATACGCACACGTGGGTCACACAACAACAATGCACATACAATCAACATTATGTTATAGGTTGGCGATGCTGTAGAACTATCTGATTTGCATATTAGAATTTTTTTGAAGTATGTGAACTGACAAAAATACAAATAATAATAACAAGATAAAGCGACAGAAAGTATACTCTATTCACTACTTGACGTCTTGACAATAGTGCGATGGGAACGAGGGTGGTAAGATGACGGGAAATTAATGAGGATGAACGGTCATGGACGATTACTCGTGGCCAAGGCTCTGCTAAATGCGATGTAGTTGAAAACAATGAACCAAGCTTTCCTGGTCTCGGCACCTAATTGTTTCATCAAAACTTCTTCTTTGAAAAGTCATTTCGTCATTCATAAATATAACTTGTAATTGTACTTCGTTCAATAAAGATAATATTTATTTAATCAGAAAAACTACTTAAGAAATGCATTTTATTTTAAATCAATTACTTTTAGCAATGAATGCATGCTCAATCGAGAACATGTTGGAACTTCACGTAGAAAATAGTCAATTGAGACTATAAATTTGCTTATTTTTAATGTAACCTTTCATTATCGTAGAGAAGCTAGTTCTGCTTTGAGAGCCACTGTTCTTTTTGTTCATAAACCAGCAAGAAATTCCTTCAAGTTCCAGAGATTTAAAAATATATGAAAAAATGTTGCATAAAAATTTGGAAGATACTACTATTTGTATGGGTTTAATAGACTATAGTTTTTAAATTCGTAAAATTTTTGATGAAGCAGTTATTGGTACGAGGCTATTTCAATTACAAAAATTTTTTGCATAATTTTTACTTTCGGAAAGTATTGTAGATAATAAAATTTGAAATACATACAAAAACTACTATTCAGAAGATTTCTTGAGTGATAAATAAAATAATACACTAATTTAGTGAAACAAAAATTTTACTTATCACTTTTTAGACAAACAAATTTAATTTAATTTGATATATTTTTTCATACAAAGTCATCCTTATTAAGATGCAAAACTAAAGAAGGGATATTTATGCAAATTAATCTCAAAAGTCATTTGAACATAGAAAATCTTGTTTGATAAGTAATTTTCAATTGATAGGACGTACACATATTCGAAAGAAAAAAAAATGAATTGGAAGTAATCATGGTAGTTATAACAACGTTATTGAATATAAGTAAATCACATATGTCGATATTTCATTATGTTACAATTCTGTTCAAAATAATTTAGTGTTAAAATGGTATCATATTAATATCATTTTTTCATATTATATCATTCATTCAATTTTTAGTAATATTTGCTTTCATTTGTGATAATTTTGTACATGTATTAAAAACCAATAATTAACCAGAAGAAGATTTTTAAATTTTGTACTGATTATCTTATCTCTTCAAAATTGAAGTTGTGTATAATGTCCACTTTTACGTATTCAATAGTTAATTTTTAGTACGTATGCATTAAAATGTAAAGGTTAGAGACAGGTGGATTTAGAAAAAAAAAAAAAAAAAACAGCAAATACAAGGCAATTATAATTTAGTGAAATAATTATACGTGAATAAATTATTACATTGATTGATTCTTGTTTTTTTCTCAGAATCAGGTATCGGGATGCTTTGATTATTCGTGGTTGCGGAGAGCCACTGGTGCTGATTTGAGTTTTAATAAATTTTTATGTTCATATCACGTCTTCCAATTATACGTAAGTATTAAAACTTGACGAATGAAAAAAAAAAAATAACTAGAAAAAACTAATGCACCTCAAAATTGATACTTTTTAAAGCTTATATCAAATAATAAATATAGTAAAATGAATGGATTACGAGACAAAGCTTAGGACGACAGTGGTTTTACACATACTATGGAAGGTGGATAAGAACATACAAAACAAAGTTGTTTTGTTGAAATAATGGACATATCTATTAAATTATCTCAACAATTGCGGGGGTGCTAGAGCATTGACGTCTGTTTCGAATATAGTCAGGTGGGCGGCAAGTGATGACGGAGAGCACTTAAAAATGATATTTTTATAAGGTTAAAATAACGGTCAAATCTACGGAATTTACGCTTATTTCTTTAGGGGCAGCAGGGAGCCGCGTGTGAGGCTCCGAAAATTGTGTGAGGTGCTGTGGGGGAGGAGGCTTGGCAGGGTCTAGACGTATCAGTTCTTCATAGTACCTGACCTTTTACTTTTTTCCCCACAGGGTCCCCTTGGATCTGTACAAAGTAAGAAAAATTCGATGGATGAACCTAATAAAATTCACAAATAATCGATAAAGTTGGCTGTACTTTTTATTTGCAATGTATTGCTTATGATATGTAAAGTACTTATCATTTATAAAAAATATATACAGAATACTAATAAAATTCAATAAAAATAATGAAAAAAATTTTTTTTTTATCAATTTTTTCACACTGCTTGGAAGGCAAATGGATAGGCGTAATGCATACTAATATGAGAGAAAAAAAATTAATAATTATTATAAGGGGTTCTGCTACTTTCTTATTATTTTTCATTACTTGGTGTTTCAGTTGTTTTTAGTCGTATTTTGTATTTTATTAGTACGTATTAAGTTCTTGATGTGTTGATCTATTTCTTTCTTAATATTATCGTACAATTACGTGAAATTGTAGTATGTTACATGTATTTTCATGATCTAAAAAAATTACATGTATTATTTTAGATTTTACATACTCATGAAATAATAGACATCATGGAAGTGTTACCCTATAAACATGGTTTATGTCCATGAGTCATCTTAAAGAGCCCTAAAATTCAACCAAGAAACACTTCCTTTCTTTTTTTTGTTTCAATTAGAAAAATAATATAAAATTAATTTCTTAAATTGAAAGAACCCAACTGTGTCTTATCTAATTGTTTGCAGTGTATGTACTGTAAAGTAATCATTTACATCCATACGAAGTACAAAATTTCTATTTTTTAAGATTAATTTTAAAGTATGCTACAAAGCATATTTTGAATTAAATGTGTTAACATTTTAATATTATTTTATAACTTGTATAACAAGTAAACGTGTTGAAACTAGGTTATTAAAAAAAAGTATTTATTATAAATGTTTAACATTAATTAGTAATTTAAACATTTCTAATAAAATATTTTTATCATAAAATAATAACACATCATGTAATGTGTGGTTATTTAAAAATTAATGCACTATGTGACAAGCAAACTTCAAAGAACTGAATCATTTATAATATAACACAAAAATAAGTTGCAAAACAGATTCAGGAAGCCCTTTACTTTCCAGTGTAGAGTTGAGGACTTCTAGTGATGCGGTCTTTATATCCTTAATCTTTGCAAATCCTTGTTCTTAAATAGGTCTCTTCAGTTTTTATAACAAGAAGAAGTCATATGGGGCCAAATCTTATATATATATATATATATATATAGTGGATAAGGCATGATCGTAGTGTTGTTTTTGGCTAAAACATTTATCACAAGCAAAGATAAGTGAGCAGGAGCATTTTTGTGCTGCAAAAGCTATAAATCATTTTTCCACAATTTCAGACATTTTCTTCGTATCTCTCTTCGCAAGTAGCGAATAACTATAAGATAATACCCTTCATTAACCCTACGAATATATGGTTAGAACTGCTGATGCACTACGTGACGGTAATCGAAGAAAACAGTGAGAAAAATTTTGACATTGGATTAAATTTGGCCTGTCATTTTAGTCCTTACTTATCTGGCCTCTTCTATTAGGACAATTAGGCTTCAACGGGTGCCATTAGAGCAGCCTTGGATGTGCATGCACCTATCACAACAAGGCTGTTGCGGCGGAAGCCGGCGCCCTGGTTTAATGCCGAGTTACGGGCCAAATGCCATGAGCGGGACCGGTTGTAAAGGCTTGCGTAGAGAACGGGCTGTTTGTCTATGTTGTCGCGTTACAGGGATCTGAGGCGAGTCGTCAGGAGAGAGATCAGACTATCAAAAGAAGTGTACTTGCGGGACTCGTTGCGGCTCGCTCGCGAACCCTCGGAGACTTGGAGTATTCTTCGTCGGTATTGAATGGTTGGTCACGATAGGTCTGCGCCCATTAGTGCTGATAAGCTCGATGACGTAGCAAGGCTACTTACTGCAAGGCACTTCTCGCAGATGTCCAGTGTACACGCGGCCTGTACAGATGTAGATCTGGAAAGCATGATAGTGGAGTCGCCTGCCTGTGCCCAACGCTGTACTCTGTACCCGTGTACAGAAAGTGAAATAAGTGAGGCCTTTGTTGCTTGTCTGGAGAGCTCGCGGGGCCGCAGTCTGGATGGGCTTGAACTTGTCTATTTTAAATTCATGCTTAGCGTTATTGTACCGTATTTGACTAAAATTTTTAATTTGTCCCTCAAGAGTGGTATCTATCCGACCGAGTGCAAACAGTCAATTATTATTTCTCTTCCCAAGGTGACGAACCCTCAGGCACCGGGTGACTTACGGCTGGTCGCTCACATCATTCACTTCGCTAAGGTGTTCGATAAGGTGATAGCTAAAAGAATTGCTGATTATTTGGAAAGCAACAGTTTGCTCTCACCTTTACAGTCCGGATTTAGAAGACATAGAGGGACGCAGTCGACGCTGCTCAAGCTAACGAATAATGTTCGTGGAGGGATTGAGGCAGGAAGGGTAACCATACTTGTTCTTTTCGACTTCCGCAGGGCATTCAATTCCATCAATCACACGGTACTCTTACGAAAGATGAGCTGCTTGGGCTTTGCCGGGAGCACTTTGTGGTGGTTTCATAGTTACCTTACGGGTCGTTCTCAGGCTGTGAGTGGGTCTAACGATAGGCAGTCTGCTTTTCTTCCTGTGACCTCGGGTATACCGCAGGGCTTGTCCACTGGACCACTGCTTTTTTTAATATTTATTGATGGGATACTTTCTGTGTTGCGTGGTGCGTCCGGGGTCTTGTTTGCCAACGACCTGCAGTTGTACCTGTCGTGTAAGCCATCGGAATTGGCAGTTACCATCGGGCGATTTAATGGAGACATCGAAAGAATTGTTCAGCGGGCGGAAACTTGCCGGCTTGAGTTTAATTACGGCAAACTGTACGCAATTCTGATGGGCACTTGCCAGAGGCTAATGCGCTTGGACAAAACAGCTTTTCCTCCACTTGTTGCAGGGGGTCGGGTAAATACCATTCGTCGATAGGGTTAAGACGCTCAGTGTCCTGCTCGCTGAGAATCTAAGTTGGAACGCGCATGTAGCAGCCTTATGTTCGATAGTACACTGGGCGATGCATCGACTGTGTTACCGAGCGAGGCTCTTGTTGTCCTCTTTTAAGGTGATGCTCGCGTTTGCCCTTGTTATTCCTCATACGGACTACGCATGCCTAGTCTACGGGTCGTTATCGGGGTACCTGTCAGTCAAACTTGATAGGCTCTGCAACACAGTTGTGAGATTCATATTCAACCTTAGACGCGATACATCGCTTGGACAATATTACGAGTGACTCGGCTGGTTACAACCTAATGTAAGGTGTGAATACTTCCTAGGTGTCACAACATACAAAATTTTTACTACACATAAGCCAGAGTACCTATATGATCTTTTTCCACCTGCAAACCAGGACTTGCGTAGGTCCGAGCGTTTCCCACACTCTGATTTTCGTTTGCAGCGTGCCTCTTTGAATGTATACGGACTATCCTTTTCTCAGTGAGCAATGAAACTATGGGACAAAACTCCAGTATCCATCAGAATGAGGGACTCGCTCGACGCATATTACTATGATTGTACCTACTGCTTAATACTATTGTGCTATTACTTGTATTTGCGAAAGAAAAGTTTTTTCGAATGCGTTTATGATGTAATAATTTGCGATATCTTATGTATAAGCCATTATTGTATCTCATTTTTATTTTATTTTGTAAAGCAATGTAATTTATGCTTCAGCCATACGGGTGATGAACAACGGCACCTTCTTACTTGCTGAAATTTTGTTGGCTAAACAATATTGTTCCAGTCTCTCGAGCCAGCTTGACCAGTCTTCTGTCATCGTAAACTCTGACATGGAGCCTATCGTGCCATGGGTGACACGCTGTCTTGCCGGGCCCGCAATCGACAGTAGGCTTCTTGCCGCTTTCAGGTCGCTGTTGTCCGGGGCTAGTTACTTCTCTCTGCGCTGGATTTCTTCCATTTTTTGGAACGTCTAAACGTCTCCTGCGCTAAGTTGCTCGTCTCTTCCTTCGTCAAAGCCTCGAGGGACTTTCCTCTGAATATCATTTTGCTATTGACCCTCGTCGCCAATGTAATGTATATTCAGACAAGGAGTAACAAAAGCACTTGTACTACGTTCGGTTACTATCGTTTATTCAGTAATAAGTACACATTGGTAATAAATACACATTGCTTATATAGTACGCTCTCGCTCGTACGACATGCTACGTCATGCTCTACTGTCGCGCGTCGGGACCGCAGTTGCCGCCGTCGCACACCACATGCACACACACACACACATATATCACACCTTCTATGTTGATACTAGTGGACGTATATTAGTTACGAGTGGAACGTACAGCAATTGCAGAGTATTGACTCTTGAGTGTGTGGATATTGCTGTGTCGATTTTTTTGTTTTAATATTTTATAATTATACTTTGGGTATGTTTCGTTCAATATTTTCAAGGATTACATTAAATAATGATAAAATAAGTATGACTTTGTATAATAAAATTACTAGATGTAAGCAACTAGAAAATAGGCGTGTTATATTCTCAGCATGTAATCAAAATTGTGAGTCTAGTAATATTTATTGTAATTAATTTTAAAAGGTACATCTTAAACTTCATATTAAAAACAACTAAACATCGTGCATTTTACTTATCACTTATACTATATGAAACTATAACCTCTTAGATTACCAACACTGTTTGTCAGTAACAACTTTACCTACATGTATTCAATATATCAACATGCATTTTATACTACGACAAATTATCTTAATTTTTTTCATTATGTCTGTATTTGTATCACTTTGTACGTCACTATGAATAAATTTTGTCCACCTCACTTCAAACGACCTTATTATTTTCACCTCTCTTAATCTCACCTATTCCCCAAGACTCCCCAGACAAAAATTCCCAGCTAGAGATCCCTATCCCTCTTTTCCTCTGACGTGCACCCCTCCTCCAACTGCATGCCTGACTAAACACTCACCCCGGGCCCCAGCCACCTGCACCGGTTCTAGATGGTGACGTCAGAGGTGTCTGGAAATTACTCACCCTTACTACAACCGGCGATTCGAGACCTAACTGCTTTTAAGTATTATTGTTTTTTAGAATCAGCGTTTTTGTGTAACATTTATGAATGAATTTTTTCCTTAGGCGAGCAAGCATCAGCGTTAAAAAACCTTTTTATTTTTAGTATCAGTAATTTATAAAATGTGCCCTTAGGCAAGTTAGCATCAGCAATGTAAAATCCATTTGTTTTTTCGTATTACTTATTAATAAATTTTCTTCCTAGACGAACAAGCATCAACGATTAGAAACCCATTAAATTTTCAGTATTATTTGTTATTGAGTTTTTTCCTTGGATAAATATGCATCGGTGATTATAAACACGACTGTACTAAAAATTATTTACTGATAGATTTTGGCAACTGTTGATTAGCATTGCTCCCTGATAACATGTGCTCTTAGACAAACAAGCATCGGCGATTAAAAACCCATCTGTTTTTAAGTACTACTTATTAATAAAATGTGTACTAAGGCCAGCAGGTATCAATGATTCAAAACATGATTTTATTTAGTGTTATTAATTGATAAATTTATTGTTAGGCAAACAAGCATCGGCGATAGAAAGCTTAACCATTTTTTTGTATTATTGATAAATAAATTTCTCTTAAGGTTTGGCGATCCCAACTGTTTTTAAGTATTACTTATGATTAACATGTCTCCTAAGGCAAGCAAGCATCGATACTTAAGAACCTAACCGTTTGTAAGTTGTGTTAATTAATAAATTTTTTCTTAGGTGAAAAGCATTGGCGATCATAAATTTCACTGTTTTTCAGTATTATTTATTAATAAATTTTTTTCTTCAGCCAACATGCAGTAGAAATGAGAAATCCAACTGATTACAAGTATTAATAGTTAATTAATTTTTCTTTAGGCAAGCCAGCATCGGTGATGAGAAACCAAACCATTTTTTCATTTTATTGATTGCTAAATTTTTTTCGTAGGCAAGCAAGCATTGGCGATTACAAATCTAACTGTTTTTAAATATTATTCATCATTAAGTTTCTCTTGATACAAAAAGTCATCGGCGATTACCAACCCTTATATTTTATAGAACGGTTTAGTGATACGATTTCCACTTAGCCGTGCAAGCGTTTGTAACCCACAATCTAACTGTTTTAAAGTATTATTTATTAATGAAATTGTTCCTAAGCCAAGCAAGCATCGGCGATTAAAAATCTTACTGTTTAATAGTATTATTTTAAAATAAAATGTTCTCTTAGCTGAGCAATCATCAGCAAATAGAAAATTAACGGAGTTTTAGTATGATTTATTAATAAATTTTTACCTTAGGCCAGCAAACATTGGTGATTAGGAACCTAACTGTATTTCTGTATTACTTATGGATAAATATTTTTTATGCAAGCAAGCAGTGGTGATTATAAACCCAACTGATTATTAGCATAATTATGTATGCAATTTGCCCGTAAGCAAGCGAGCTTTCCTGATTACAAATCCTAATGTTGTTTTCATAAGTTTTGAATGAATGTTTTTCTAAGGCGAGCAAGTACAGGTGGTTTTAAACCTTACCGTTTTTTAGTATTATTAATTAATAAATTTTTCCGTAGGTAAGCAAGCATCAGTGTTGAGAAACCTAATTTTTTGATAATAATTATTTATAAAATGTGCCCTCAAGCGAATACGCATCTTTTTTTGTATAACAAATAAAAAAATTTTTTTTAGGCAAGCAATCATTTACAATTACCCGAACCGTTTTTTGGTGATATTGATTACTAGATTTTACTTCAGATAAGCAAGTATCGGCGAAACGAAACCCTACCGCTTTTTAGTATAAAAAATTTATAAAATAGGTGATAAAGAATCGGTGATACGAAATCTAACCATTTTTTAGTATTATTAACTAAACTAGTGGACAGTAGGTGTTTGGGTACCCGAGTAANAAGAAGTTATACTTCTGTAAAATTATATGGCAGATAATATAATTATAAATATAAATACGCCTTCCATGAAACTATACTGTGTACAAAGGTGGTGCAATTATCGTTTAAATGAGTATACCTACGTTGATTGAGTATGGTTTCACTTATTATTTTATTGTTTAATAACTAAACAATTATAAACAAAATATATAATGGCACAATACAATACAAACAATATGGGGGCTGGCCAGTACAAGACTGTGCACTTTCATCGAATCTTCCCATGATTTCAAAACAATTACCTACTGCCTACGCTGATAACATCTGTAACTGTAACGTCACGCTCACATTCATCACATAGGCTCACACACTTATTCCTAGTCCATATTTAATGTCCAAAATATAATAGTATCTCAAAAATTAAAACAAACCATTCTGTAGTACCACTTTCTTTAATAGCATATTAGTACATGTCAGTAAATTTCCCTTCAGGACGTTCATCACACATAGGTTTTTTCGACAGATATTATTCAAGCATCAAAAGTATACTAAAAATACCATAAGAAATACTCAAAAAAAATTGCAGATCGTTCAACTGTACCTTCCTTTATATGTTTAATTTTAAAAATTTGCAATTTAACATGTAACCTTAAGAAAAAATTACCTAAAATTTCATTTATAATACCTGTATAAGACCCAAAATTTTTGCTTGTATAAAAGAGTATTTTGAGAGAAACCGGTTTTATTTTTAGATAGATTTATAATTTTTTTTTTTTAATAACACAAAAAAAAAGGGGTGAAGTATGCGTAAAAGCATGTATGCAAGTTCATTCATGTGAGCAAAATAATTTTCAGCGTTGCTGTATATACTTACGCTTCTCCCACCTCTTTGAATTTTGTTCTCAATCTCAAAGGAAAAATTGTGACAGAAGAAAACGGAGTAAAAATCAATCGTTGCATTTATACAGTACGGAAATTTTTTTTTTTTACTTATGAAAATTCTGAAAAAATGTGAAAAACTGTATAAACAATAATTTATTTATTTGTTTAAAAGTAAGAAATTAATGATACATAAATAAATGTTCCAAATTTAAAAAAAAACATGTACTAAAAAAATATATTTTACTAAATAACTTATTTATTTAATGTACAATGAAATCAAATAAATGAATATTTACATTGAAAATAAGTTACGAACTGTAAGATACACTGAAGTAATCGGTTTTCTAATTGGGCCCACTTATAGCAGAGTGGGTACGGGCCGTGGCCAGTATGCAAGAGGTCGGGGGTTCAAATCTCGTTGGAAACTGTTTCTTTTTTTTTAAATATTAATTTATGTTTATAACTTACAACGCATACGATTTTGTAGCAAATTATTTTTTCTGTAATGTATGGTATTTAACAAAATAATAGTAGTTTATACATGATAAAGTTATTTGTGANTTTTTTTAAATATTAATTATTAAATAATATTATTTTTTTTGGTTAAAAGAAATAAAATTTGTAAAATTTAAATTGTGTGGCGTAGTGATGTAATGAGGCGTCAAGCATAATCCACTTCCGTCACACTTTTGCTCAAGGTCAAAATCTGAAATCGTTGGTTTACCCTCACGCATAACGTGCCTATAGAAGTATTACTTCAAAAATTGTTTTTCATATAAGCTATCATCAGCAATGATAAATCTATATGTTTCTTCGTATTATTGATTATTAAATTTGTTCCTTGGGTGAGCAAGAATCGGTGATTAAAAACTTACTGTTTTTTAGTAGTATTGAGGCAAACAAGCATGCGCGTTGAGAAACCCAACTGTTTTCTGGCATGACTAAGAAGTGAATTCTTCTGTAGGTTAGTAAGTAGTGGTGATGAGAAACCTATTTGTTATTTGCATTATTGATTGTTAAATTTTTTCCGTTCGCAATCAAGTAATGGAAATTATTTATACAACTATTTCTTAGTATTATTTATTAATTTTTTTTTTTAGGCAAACACGCATAGGCGGAGAGAAACCAAAAGAATTTTGAGTATTGATGATAAATTTTTTCTTTCGTCAACAAGCATTGTTGATAAAAAACCTCAATGTTATTTAGTATTTTTTATTAAATAATTTTTTTCTTAGGCAAATAAGCATCGGCAATCAGAAATCCAACCGTTCGTTGGTATTATTAATTGATAAGTTTTTCCTTAAGCAAGCAAGTATAGACGATGGGAAAACCAAATATTATTTAGTATCATTGATTGATAAACTTTTAAAATGAAGTTCTTTATGTCACGTGCAAAGGGGGGCTGGAATTTCAAAAACGATTGATTTACATGAAACGGAAGTGGCTTATCGGAAGTCTCTTCCTCCTAATTTATTTCCCCCCTTACCACGCCACCCTTACCATCAGTCCCCTACACATTTCCCCTCACTTTGTCTGTTCCAACCGTGCTGCGCTAGTCTCCTGCACACCTCCTCTCATCACTCCCCGTTTTGCCGCGCCCCACCATTCCCCTTCACACGACACCATTAAAGCACACACACCAAGCAGTTAATGTTTCATTAAATCAGAATTTTTTTTCCTCACAATAATTTTTATTTAACTTGAAATTTTTTTTCTTCCACAGTTAGAAAAAAAAAAAAAAAAAAAAAAATTCCAACGAGATTTGAACCACCGATCTTCTGCGATTTGTTTACACAATTTTTCATAAAAATTTTCAAAAATCAAAAAAAAAATTTTTTTTCTACTACACAAATACATTAATTAATTTTTATTGTGTTTTATTCTTTTACAATATTTCCATCCACGATTAATGTGATTATTTGATTAAAGGACGTTCTTCACATAGTTAGCGGGGGAAAAGTTCAGAGGAGTGAGAGGAACGCTAATGTGTGCAGTAAAGCTAACAATTGTTTTTCTCATGTGAATGTACTTATGTATATGCTTTTACGCACCCCTACCTTGTGGGTCTTTTGGAAAATTCGATAGGTTTATTTGAAAGATATCTTTTATGTTCAAGAAATTGGGAGATACCTACAAATCATATAAATGCCATTCAACGTTATTTTTTCACAAGGTGACATATTCAATATCGATTTTTTTAAATGTAACATATAGAAAATAATGGCAAAGTCAAACGAACTGCAATTTTTGTGGGAATTTGTAATTCTATTTCAATATACGTTTGCCGTTTGAATAATATTTGTCAAAAAAACCCATGTGTGATGAACGTCCTGAAGGGACATTCCCTGGCATGTGTTACGACTCCATTTAAGAAAACTGTACTACAGGATGGTTTTTCTTAATTTTCTGTAGACAATGATTTTTTGGGTGATAAATACAGACGAGGAATAAATGTTGAATCGTATGTGATATATGTGAGCATGACTTTGCAGATGTAATCACCGTATACAGTAGGAAATATACTCTTTCCAACGATAATTGCACCATTTCCGTACGCAATATCGTTTCACAGAAAGTAAATTTATATTTATAATAATATTATCTGCCATTTAATTTTATAGTTGTATAAACTCTTACATCTTTCTAACAAGGGATCATTTTTTAGCAACTGAAACATAGCTTCATGCGGAGTCTTGTTAGATAAATCTATATAAGCTTTTTTATTACTAGGTAATTCCATTATTGTCATCCAAATGAGCTTTCTGTACTTTCCAGGGTACTCTCCAAATTCTTTCAAAATAGGAAGTAGTCTAGGTAATTTCAATTCTTCTTTCAAAGCAGTTCTCACGCATTTTAAATGGTACTCTGCTTTATGAAAAACAGACGAGGTTGCTGACTTTTTTATTACTGGCGCTCGTTCCTTGCTTTTGTCGCTACTCGAGCAAGAGCTAATTTTTATATTTAAAACCTTATCTAACATGGAAATTTCTAAAAAACCATGTTTACTTATCTGCACCATGAAATACCCTCTGGGTGAAACAACCATCCTTTTGAAACCACTTTGCAAGTCACAACAGTTTTGTAAGACACTAGCCATTGCCAAGTTTATAAACCTGAGCATGCGATCAGAAGTGATGACTGCAATAATCGAATTCGCTCCCCCATCTAAAGGCACTGGAATCACAACGAGCTGTCTGCTTCCGCTGAAACTTTCCCGAAAGTCCATTCTTTTCATCAACTGCCAATTTGACGTGAAAAACACTAAAATGGTATTTTGCAATCCACAGACAATCATGGCTCTGCCATCCTTGGTAAAGTCAAAGTCCTTGACATTCTTCAGTCCCAACTTTTCCAAATCCATTTTGTTATCCTGCTGAAATTGCTGAAACATCCAAGTCTGTATAACGTTACTCTGATACAAAACGGCAACGACGCCCAAACTCGAAAACTTGGCCTTCTTGATGACCAAATTCTTGACGTTCAGACGTAGCATGTGAGCTCNTGTTACCTGAGAAATTGTGTTTCTTTATTTTATGATGTTTTTCGACACACATTTCATGTTTAATTATTTTTCGGCACTCATCTCATGTTTGAAAAACTTTGTTCTTACCGTGGGTCCCATGACCCATTTATACCCCTGGTTTGTTTCTTTTAATTTTTTTCATTTTTTTTGAATTTCCTTCATTTCAGTTTTTTTTCTTAGGCAAGCAAGCATTGGTGATTAGAAGTCCGACTGTTTTCAAGTATTACTTATTTATATCATGTGCCCTTAGGCGAGCAAGCATGGGTGATTTAAGACACGACTATATTTAGTATGACTTATTGATAAATTTTTTTCTTAGGTGAACTAGCATCAGCGATTACAAATCCAACAAACCTCTAGTATTATGAATTAAGAAATTTTTTCCCAGGCTAACAAGCATCGGTGATTAGAAATCTTATTCCGTTTTAGTATCACAATTAATAAATTGTTTCCGTATATGAGCAATCATCGGTGATTAGAAGCATAACCGCGTTGTAATTTTAGTAAATGATAAAAGGTGCCCTTAGTCGAGAAAGTATTGGCGATGAAAAAACTAACCGTTCATTAGTTTTATTAATTTATAAAATGTGCCATTAGGCGAGTGGGCATTGGCGATGAAACATCCAACTTCTTTTTAGTATTATTTATTCGTATAATTTTCTCTCAGAAAAATAATAATCACTGACAATAAACCCAATAAATCTATAGTATACTTTATTGGCAATTTTTTTTTACTCTAGCAAGCATTGCTGATGAGAAACCTAACGGCTTTTTCGTATTACCTAATGATAAATTTTTTTCAGGCAAGCAGGTAGACCGAATTAAAATGTAGTTGTTTTTTAGTATTATTGATTATTAAACTCCTCCTTAGGTGAGCAAGCATCGGCTGTTAGAAACTCAACCGATTGTTAGTATTGTTGATTTATAAAAAGTGCCCTTAGGCAAGAAAGCACTGGCGATGACAAACTTAACCACTTGTAATCATTATTAATAAATGAATTTGTCCTTAGTTAATCATATATGGGCGATAATAAACCTAATTCATTTTAAGAATTTGTTAGTTAATAAATATTTTCCTTAGGCTAGCAAAGGTCAGCAATAAGAAACCTAAGCGTTCTCAAGGTTATTTTGCCTAGAATTATGACGTTTTGCCTAGTTACAATTTTTGTGCAAGCTATCAAACCTTATAAGCATTTTTTATAGAATATTGCCAAACTGCTTATTTTTACAGTAAACATAAGAAATAATACTTTCAATGTTATCTTCTACAAGACGTAATCTTTTTTATGTTCATTTTCCACGAACCAAAACGTTTCTTAAATAGTTATCATGTTTCTGTACTCACATTTATAGTTTCGCATTGGCAACATGCAATGTGAAATACAATCAAAAATTTCTTTTCCTGATGAGATTCTAATTGTCAATGAGTCTTATTATAGTCTTTCTATTACTTAAAGTATTTAAAACAGTATTGAATTAAAAGTTTCTTTTCTATTGAGTAGCATAGCATTTCAATGTTCATACTACGCTATCAAACAAATTAGTGTTTTCGTTTATTATACTTCTACTGATTATAAGAAAGTTAAGCGTGTCATACTGTAGGCAAAAGCAAAAATAGAAAAAAAAGACATTCTTTACACAATTGTTGTGGACATACAGCACAATATAGTTATTTTTTTTTTTATATTATAGTGCTCTACGTCCGGCTTCTTTAATAAGGGCACTACTATGGGCACTTAGCACTTGGGAAAGGGACAAGGAGAGGAATGGGAGGCCTTCCATTACTGGGAAGGGGGTAGGGGGAAATTAGGCAATTATGCTGCGAAGAGGTCGCCTAAGCCCTTCTCGAGGAGCATTGCGTGGTGAAAAAGCACATGTGAGAAATCACAGAGGTCTTTGCCCGAAAAAGTCGCATATGGCCGGGAATCGAACCAAGGTCTCCCACGTGCCAATCCACGACTTAGCCGACCGAGCCACCGCGCGCTCTGCACAGTATAGTTAATACGTTATCAAATGGGATAGACTGACAAATTAAATATTTACCATCGGAATAAGTTTAACTACTCAAAACTCATTTTAACAGTAAATCAATTATATATCATCACATGTGGCATGTAGAGAGCATATAAAAACTTAAGTCATCTTTGTCTGCATCATTGTATGTAACATACTGTTTTTTGGGACCAATCACAAAAAAAACTAAGCGCCTAAAATTGGATGCTTGTGGAATAGAATACGCATTGACAAAAGAAATTTCTATGATTTCATTATAGTAACGTAAAAAAAATTTACCTCCCAATGGGGGTTATACAAAATTCAGACAAGTTTTAGTTTCTTTGTGAGAAGCACGTGTTGAGAAAAAATTTATAATCAACATCTGAGTTTTTATTATTAGTTTCTCCCAGCTTTGAAAATATTGACTTTTTACTCAACTCAATTCAAGTATCGTTTATAAATTGGGAAGCCCTAAACACTCGTCTAGCGTTCAATCTAATTTTTATATTATTTGTGTGATTTTGTAAAATATTGTTTCTTACTCTATGGTACACATTTTTTATTGTTTATGAAGAATAAGGTCAATTCATTCTATCGCAGGTGTTGACAATTTACTGCACAATTATCTATTAAAAATAAAAAAAGGAGTCGAATCAAGCCACGCACTGAGAGAAGGATTTGTTAGTAATTAAGTTCATTTTAATTTTCATTTAATTACTGTTAACTCTTAACTTACGTATAATATGTCTCCCACGTGGTGCCATCTAACGCAGCGCAGGTTCAACGTATATATGGCATATTAACTATTAACATGCCGTCTGTATCAGTTAAAATTTATGAAGTTATGAAGAGCATGAAAACTAATTTTTTGTCAACGTACTTGTACGTTGAAAGTAAATAAATCCTTCTCTCAGTGCATTAATATCTTTAACTAATAAACGTATCATTAGATAAGTTACTACTTACTTGTAAATACTATCAATGTGACGGATCATTATTACGTTACTTTTTGTACGGTACTTTTTCCTGTCTTATAGTTGTATAAAGTTAGTCTACAACTGTATTGTTATTAATTTTTTTAAGATAAATACTACTCTAAAACCATCTAGGATGTGTCAAGAATCAGTATGCAAAATTTAAGCAAGATTGGTTAAGTAGTATTGGTGGTGCACAATTACAACGGTTTTTACGACATTGCTTTATATATTTGTAAGATGTACACTTAAACAAGCAGGCATCGGTGATAAAAAACCCGATAGTTTCCTTGTATCATTATGATCAGCTATTAGAGACCCAACATTTTCTTAGTATTATTAATAAATAAAATAAGCTATTAGACGTGCATGCAGCGGCACTGAGAAACAGTTTTTCCTTGTATTTATCAATCAAATACGCTCTTCGGCGAGAAAGCATTGGCGTTAAGCGACTTCACTATATTTCAGTACTGTTTATTACGAAAGTTTCGTTTTTAGGTGAGCAAGCATTATTGATAAGAAAGCCAACTGTTTTTTTGTATTATTTAAGAATGAAAAATTTTTTAGTTGATTAAGCCGGTATAACAAGCGCCTTAGAAGGCTGATCTTGGATGAAATTCCTGACAGTATCTCACGTGGCTTATCCAAATTATTGGGTGATAAGGAACACATCTTTAAAAAAGTGCCTATTCAAATTGTGGGTATAATTTTTTTATCAACGATTTTATGCAAAAAGAAAAGCTAAAAAATTGTGTTTTTTAATTATATCTTTAAGCTAGTCGATAAAAGCTATATTTTGTGATTTGTCATTTGTAGGTATTATTAAAACGAACAGTTTTCGACGGAAATTTTTAAAATTGATTTATAGTTGTTTAAGACAATCGGCACATGACGTTGGAAAAATCGAAAATTTCGTTAATTTTTTACTCCGTCAAAAAATTTTTAGTAGCTCTGGAACTCAGTAAAATGTGTCTTGTATTATCATAAAACTACTCAAAGTTTTTAGTTTCGTTCAGACAGTTTCAATAAATATTTAAATAAGCCAATATTAAAAAAAAAATACAGGATATAAAAATTCAAGTATTCAACTATCTACCGTCTAAATTTCAAACATCTGTGTTATTAAATAAACAAATGGCGTAAGAAACAATTAAAAAACTTGTGAACATTTTACAACAACCAATTATTTTTGAATTCGTAAAAAAATTCCAGCTTACAAAATATGCCAATATGTTAATTTGTTAATGAGATATTAGAAAAAAAAATATTTGTAAGGAAGTCGCACTTTTGTAAAGACCCTTTTGTTGATGAAAAATTGCAAAAGTCGTTATACCATTACTAGGCTCTTTAACTAGACGTTGCAAAGAAAAAATTTCGGTCGCGAAACGTCCATTTTAATAAAACCTACAAATGGTATACCACAAAATTTGGCTTTTATTAATTGGCTTAAATATATAATTATAAAACACGATTTTTCATCAATATTGATTCATTGTTGAAATCAACATTAATTCAATATTAAAATCAACGTTGAATCGACGTTGATCAATGTTGAATCAACGTTGATTTTAACATTGAAATCAATGATGAAACGCCACGTTAATCAGTGTTGATCAACGTTAATCTGTGGATTACAATCATCGTTGATTCAACGTTGAAAACTATCCTCATTTAATTATTTATTGCTTAGTGAAAATTATTTTATAAATTATCCGCGTTACGTAATAGAGTAAAATAACATTTGTAGTAAATAATTTGAAACTTCGTAAGTTCAGTAAATAATTTCATTCACTTTTATTTTTTTCTGATCAAATTCTTATTCAACATCAATAAAGTCAATTTTATAACTCGTTTCACGAACTACTCTTAAGAGAGTTTTTAAAATTATTTCTAATGATATAAATAAATGCAGTTACACGTATACATTTCCAGACTTTTCTTGATTGTATAACAAAATACAAAACTATACTTATGCGATAAGCAATTACAGATATGATAACTAAAAATACACTTAAAAAAAGGTTAAGAAACATATTAATTCAACTTTTGTTACGTTTTGTCTAACTATTTAATTTTGTAGACAGTTTTTTTTTTGGAATAACATTTTATTTTCTTCGGCATCAATGTCATAAATAAATGTTTCTCTTAAAAGAAATAATAGTTTTTTACGATACAATCTGATTAACGTAATTACATACATACTCACAAACTTCTCTTTTTTTCTTTAACACCGAAGTTGTAATCAGCGTTGATCAACGTTGCGTTTAACCATTGATTTTAATATTAAACTCAACGTTGATTCAATGTTGATTCAACGTAGATTTTAACATTGAATTAATGTTTATTTCAACGATGAATCAATATTGATACTTTAGATATGGTAGTATTATGGGTCAGTGACCTAGTTGATTTTTTACAGATATTTAACACGAAAATCTTGTCTCAAGCAAGTAAGCATTAGTGATTAGCAATCTGAATGTTTTTCAGGGTAGTTTGGTAGTTAATGAAATGTAACTTTCTGCAAGCAAGTATTGGCAATTAGTAACCCATTTATTTTTTAGTATAGTTTATGAATTGATTGATTCCTAGGAAAGCCCTGAGATTTTTTTTTCAGGCTTTTTCGATAAGATAAGTAGCCAGGATGATAAAACGGCGTATTCGATTTTGAAAACAAATAGTCACTTTTTCTGGTGACGTGTGGACTTTTTCAGGCTTCCTTTATGAAGGAAAGCCAACACCTAGCCTACTAATCGGGGAAAGCCACTGTTGGTTATAAAAAGGTCGGTACAGTAAGTTTGATGGTTTACTGAAAAATAGCTCACCATCAAACTTAATAATATCTGAGGTATGCTTAGGACAATCACTGCGCCCTGTAAACACAGGGTTCCCACAAATCTGGAAAACCTGGAAAACTCAGGGAATACCATGTTATCTCCTGGAATCATGGAAATATCATGGAATTTCATATTGATTCTGGAATTTTTTTTACTTTTAAGATTTGCTTCACGAGCCTATGCGCGGAATCGTGGACGAGCGCGGAGAAGCACTCATTTTAGGTTCATCTATCTGTATAGACTTATGCGTACCGTGTGATATGTGTACCTATATATTATTTGCAAATAGATATACATATCGTACGGTGTGCACTGCTGTTTGTATTTTTTTTTAATTCGCCCTTGCCAATCACAAAATTTTGCAGCGACTGCAGACTGGTCTAATTGGCTTGTAGCGATTTGCGTGTATCAAAAGATCGAATTCAGAACTTGGCAGCGCAGGCCATTCTACAATTGCTGTAATGCCCCAGCGCAGCGCAGGGTCAGAACAGTTGTAAAGTGGCCCTCTGAAGACTGCCCACTAGCACATTATAAGGAAATTAGTGAGAGTGATACTTGATTGCTGATTGAAAAGCAGATACAACGATGGGTGACAGGTAAAGCAAATGGATAAGCGCGTGTATTAAACCAGGTGTGGGTCTCGGGACCCACGACAGATGTGAAACATTAAAGCATATGTTATTGAACTCGGTAGTATTGGATTGTCTATAATAAAAATAGTAGTTTTCGTTAGGTAAGTAACACTGTCTCCAGGGCTATTTTGCGACCCGAGGGACCTGCGAAACAAGGCGCGAGGGACGTAAGACAGACGCGGAGCAATGTGGCTTATGTGGCGAATCCTATTTTTTCTAACGATCGCAAACCAGCCTCTCAAAAACGCGTGAGGTAGAAAAAGTATTTATTTTTTAACTTTGAATAATCTTAATTTCATATTTTNCTTTCTCTGATTTTTAAAAGAATACTTATGCCAGTGTTGCAGTGCACTTGGTGAAAGTATCTTTTTTTCCCCCACCATCATTATCAAATTCCACACATCATCTTCCGTCCAGTAACTAAAAATCTTCCTACTTCCTCATCATATTCATCCACGCGATTCCAGAGACGCGCCAGACACTCAAGTGCACAACATTTCCGAGCATTAAAAGGGTTGAAACACCGATAGCGAGCACATGTATGTATATATATAAGTACCCGCACTTATATCAGTTAGAATAACCGGGGCGGGTGCCGGCTCTTCCGGCCGGCCAACTACTTACACCTCGCTCGGCTAATTAAATATTTAAATACTTGTGATCGAGGCAAAACTTTTGCCTCAAACTTTAATAATAAAGCTCACGCCTCGCGGGGCGAAAACTCTCACACCGCTAACAGAAAGAGAGAGATTAAAATTACTCGTTTGCTCCTCCTTTCTTTTACATTGCTCTCGATTTTTTTTTCTTTTTCTTTTTTTTTTTTTGCAAGGGAACAACGCCACGCGCTAAGAAGAGGAAGGAGATAAGGAAACAACGACGAAGCAGGAAGAGGAGGAAGAAAATCCTTTGTTTCAAGGGGCTCTCCTCAATTACTTTAAAAGAACGCGTGCACGAATATATGTGTGTGTGTGTGTGTGTGTATATTGTGATGTGTCGTGCCTTGCTCACCTTGCAGTCAGCAGCAAGACGTGGCACATATAAAATTATTCTTTATTATGACTTACTATAGGGCTAAGCGGATAGTAGAGATAGCTGGCAATCAGTATACATACATGGGCGAGGTTAACATTTAAGCATTCATTTGCATTTATTAATAACTCAAAACTTATTATTATTTCTATACAATGTTTACTCTGCCCGACTATCCTGACTCTATACAACCTTAGCCCTGCAGGTGCAGGTTCTGCAGTTGCTGCTCGGCACAATGCTTGTCTACGGTAGGGACGGGATAAACATGAAATAGGCCTACCGTTCTTTTGTTACAGCAGGGGTCTCTCTGTAGCACTATCCTCGGGCACCGGGAGGTCTGACGAGCAGTGGTTGGCACTCGAACCCAGTAGTCCTTGACAGCGTGTGTGTGAAGGTCGTTGTGGCAGTCCGGGTAGCCAACAGGTAGCCGTTGTTGTGCGCCTCCGGTGGCTGCTCGGTACCGCACACAGTCGTATCTCGCACACACACCCGTAGAACTACATAACGCTGCGAAGCCCTCGGATTATACGTCCCGGCGGGAAACAGACAAGACGGAGAGTGCCTTTCTTGTTGCCCTGACGATTCGTGCTCCCTGATACTGTAGCTACCCGCCTGTGTATGTGTCGGTGCGCACACACACCCGCCGCTGCACACAGTCAAGGGCTGGCAGTGCTGCCTATAGTAGGGATAAGTGTACTACGACATACGTTCCTACCGTGACGTCGGCTTACCACGTCACAATATATGTAGAGAGCGCACGGTGGCTCAGTCGGCTAGATCGTGGATTGGCACGCGGGAGACCGTGGTTCGATTCCCGGCCAGTGCGACTTTTCGGGCAAGTACCTCTGTGATTTTTCACATGTGCTTTTTCACCACGCAATGCTCCACGAGGAGGGTTCAGGCGACCTTCTTGCAGTAAAGTAGCCTAATTATCCCCCTACCCCCTCCTTTTATGGGAGGCCTCCCCATCCCTCTTACGTTACTTCTCCCAAGTGCTAAGTGCCCTCAGTAGTGCCCTTTATAGGAGCCGGACGTAAAGAGCTATATATATATAGCCCCCCCTCAGCCCACCGCTCGATTTTGAATATCCTTCATCAGCCCCTTGCCACCCCCCTCAGCTGCCTTTCTTAGGCTGCGCTTACATGGAGTCTGAAGTACAGTGTAGACCGTTTAATTCGTTGAGCGGGAAGTATAAAATTGACTAATGAAAGAGGTTATGTGATCGAATCAGCCAATGGGAATTAAATGTTTTAATTTTCCACTCAACGAATTAAACGGCCTCCACTGTTTATAAGATTGTGGGTAAGCTCTACGGTGGGTAGTTTTGAAATTATTTCTATGAGAGTTTCAAGGCAAAGAAAAACTCATGTATATGCGGAATAGTTAGTGATTATTAATAAATAACAAAGTTGAATATCTTCAGATAAAAATGAGTAAAGATCTAGTTTATGATGACGTAAGTTAATACAATCATAGCATAACATAACATAACCTCATTTTTAATGTTTTATAAATGTAATTGTAATGTAACATTTTTTCATTTGAGCTTTTGATATGTCGTAATTGTGTGACTCATGAGTGTTTCAGAGCATATGATGTTAACGAATATGCTGTAGTATCTGATATGAATAATTGCATCTTTGCAGGTAAATATTGTTTATTTGTATGTTTTATACCTCATACTTATCACTGTGTATGAAATTTTTCTAGTTCCGAAAAATCAGGTTTCTGCACAGCCCAATAACTCTCTTTCTAAGCAAAACTGTACGAATCAAAAAGCTAATGCTATTACAAATTTAGTAAATTCAGCAAGTCAAGATGAAAAGCTTGAAGCTTTGATTCTGGCTGTAAAAGACCGTCCAGCACTGTACGACAAAAAAAATGTCCCTCCAAAAGCCAGAACTCGTTATATAAAAAGTTTAATGTGGTTGGAAGTGTGTAAAGAAGTCAACGATTATGATCAGGCATCACTAGTTAAAATTTGGGACTACTTGTGTAACAGATTTTTATGAAAAGAAGTTTTAGCATACAAGCCTAGTGGTTCTGCTGCAAAAAAAAAGGATCCATCGACATCCTTCAAGTTTTACGAGTCAATGTTATTTCTAAAAGATTCTATTGATACAGTGACGTTAGTAATTATTGTTTAATAGAACTGGCTAAGTTATAAAAGTGTTGTTGTAATATTTTTGTTTCCTTATCAAAGACCCACTTCTTCTCTGGAAAACCGTGCAGACAAACCCTCCTGACAAATCTTACCCGAGATCTCATCTGATATCTCATGTGATTTCTTACCTGAGATCTCAGGTGAGATCTCATGCCAAATTCTCATCTGAGATCTCAGGTGAGATTTCTGAAAGAAAAATAAATAAGAAAATTTTGTGCAACGGCTATAATTTATACATTAATAGAATAATTACCTAAAATATCAACAGTTATAGGAAAAACAAAAAAAATTCGGCTAATATGGGACACGAACTCGAGCCCCCCGGTTTTTAGTCAAGCATCTTACCGCTTGGCCAGAGTGAATGAGATACTAGTCCGACAATTTACGTCTACATGAAGTGTGAGTACCATGTTTTATTATTTTTCTTATTCAGTACTGAATCATACCATCATTAATAGATATAATTTTTCTCAATCTTAATTCTAATAGTTAACTAACTAGATAATTTTAATCCAAGTTATTTTCTTCACAAACAANTTTTCCTAATTTTTGTTTGAATCTGGTAGTTTTTAAAAAAACTTTATTTTATGTATAAACTTGTGTTGTAAGAATTTATGTCATTTATCTGAGTACAGTATAAATAACTGAAAAATATTATCTTTCCTGCTAGTATTTGAAACCCAAATTAAAGTATTAAAGAGGAAAAGGTAATCTACAACTTTGTTGTGACAATTACAATAAATTTATTACACTTTTAAACATTGATTAATTTTTCCTTGGAATGAAAAGTATATGTACAGTATAAGTAAAATCCGTGAACGAAAAGTAGTTGTAAAATCAATTACTAGATTTATTGTTGACGAACGTGTTAAGAGACACGAAACAACATAAAATGTAAATTATCTTCCGAGTGTCTAATCAAACCTGGGCAAGTGGGTAAGACACTCGACTACGAGTCCTCCAAACCAGGTTCAAATTCCCTACCTGGAGCAAAGAGATGCTTTTTTTTTAAACTACTTATATTAGCTTTTCTAAAAGCTTTTAAGCAGAAAGAATTCAATATTACATGGGTTACAACTTATACTTTTTTATTTTTTAGTTGCCGAAAATCTTGCTTAATATCGTGTAGGATATCGTGTAGACCATCGTGCAAGAAGTCTTACACAATATCTTATAAGATTTCGTGTAGGATATCTTGTAAGGTATCGTGTAGGATATGTTGCATGGTATGCTGTAATAAAAGTAATTTACTTAATTATTAAAAAGTATTATACATATTTTGCAGAATAATATAGATCTCTCTAAGC